TAGAATCTTATGAGTCTGCAGCATAAACAAGTCTCATGTAAAAAATATGAAAGCCTGGAAACCAAATATAAGAAGTACATACCCTATTTTGTAAACCCACCTCCCAGTAGTAAACGCCAAAAGTTCCTCTCCTCCAAAGAGAACTTGGTGACACAATGGAGTTCAAGAGATATGATTTGCAGGGTATGGCAAAGGTGGATATGCTACTGGTGGGTGGAATGCCTCCACATTGTTAGAATCATTTCAGAATGCAGAGTGAATGCCTTATCTTACCATTTCTTAAGGACCACAACTGAGTCTGAGTGACTGACTCCCGGAACTAAAACATAAGAGTTACAGGAACAAAAGACCAACAGCAGCTGATCTAAGACAGTCATCAAGTGACTGACATGGTTTGTAGACAAAAATCTATAGGTCTGGCTCTGAACTAGGCTCACTTAGCAAAAACGTTGGGTTTGTTTCCACTGATACTGGAACTAGGCAGACTGCCTTGGTTTAGATAACTATCAATCCAGTCATTCGGACCTTGAGCCTGCCAGAGAAGGCCAAATCCTTTGGAGAGTGCATAAAAATGAACTCAACCTTTTGCCTTCTCTCACCAACTCTGGACTAGGACACACTCATCAAGAGTAGAATTTTGCCTAATTAGAAAAGTTCCAGCGCAAAGTCAGCTACATAGAAGTCTGATTTAATACTTTCTACTCTCAGTAGGTCACTGACACTATCTTCTAATCAAGATTCTCCTATCCCACATGTAATTTTAAGCTTTAGTGCTTACAATTCTTTGAAAGCAATGGTCACCCTGCTAGACTTGGCTTAGATCTCTTCAAACACTGTGAATTAAGGGAAGCCCTCCTGAGGACTGTTTTGTTTTTCAACTTCCTCCTTGTTCCCCAAAGCACCTGCTAATGGAATTAAGTCAGCACTCCACAGCACTTCCACATTTACCACGATTAAGAGACTGATCTGTCAAGGCAAGGGCTGGCAAACACAAATGTCATGAATTATGGATCTAGTTTTATTATTATTTATTTTTATTTTTTAAAGCTACACCCGATGATGGACTAAATTTCTCATTTTCAATTGCAAAAGAAAATGTGAAATCTGAACAAGATGTAAAGAAAACAAAAGACAACCTTCCACAGGAACAGCCTCTCAACATTTCCTCACCTTTGTGATAAAGCAATAAACACAGGTGTGTTGTACTCACTACATAATGCAACCCTGAAAGGGAATGTTTTCTCTTGAGATAGAACAAAGACATTCTAAGGATGAACAAGAAGCCTTACCCCTAATGAGGATTAGTTGAGAGGTGTGAATCAACAGCACAAGAGTAGGAATGTTGACGTGATTTATCTAGGTGTTAAAGGTGCAGTCCCCTTTTCTGAAGCCTTCAACCAATAGCCAAGACATTATATTGTTGGCATTTTAAGACTTCTTTTACTTACAAAGAAATGTTTGTGTCTGATATTCTATGCAAGTTTTGGCGTCACCTTTGTGATAGAACAGATGTTCTTTCTATAAGTGTTGTTTGTACAAACTACTATAAGAGCCTGCTAAACAGCATGCATCAAAGAGAAGAAATTACAGTATATAAATTGAATCGATATTGCTATTCTTCTTATAAGCATCGTTTTCTCACCATCCATGGCATTAGTTAAAAGACCTGTATGGATTAATAAGGGGCTTCCTGATGATGAGGAGTTATATTAAGGGCCTCTGAAAAGCAATTTTTTTTTTTTTTTTTTTTTTGAGTTGGAGTCTCACTCTGTCACCCAGACTGGAGTGCAGTGGCTGCTCCCGGCCACCGCAGCCTGGACCTGCTGGGCTCCGGCGATCCTTCCACCTCAGCCTTCCAAGTAGCTGGAACCACAGGCGCGTGCTACCACACCCGGCTAGTTTTTGATTTATTGTAGAGATGAGGTCTCGCCAAGTTGCCCAGGCGGGTCTCGAACCCGCGGGCTCAGGCAATCCACTCACCTCAGCCTCCCAAAGCGTGGGATTACAGGCTGAGCCACCGAGCCCGGCTTGAAAAGCAATTTTTAATGAATATCAATATGAGAGGGAATGATTATATGTAATAAATTTAGCATTTGGCACATCAAACTTTTCAGATATCCACGGGACAAGCCCCATAGAGAATTCTACAGATTTTTTTTTTTTTTGATAAGCTTTTTAGGACATTTGTGATTGAGCACTGCAGCTGAAAATGAAGGAGGGTTTGCTACACCTTTGACTTCCAGGCTTGTATGTGTATGAACCACAAAGGGCAAGGAATGGAAATAGATATCAAGACAGGGTGAGAAGAGACAGAGAGGACAGAGAGACAGAGGAGACAGGGAACGGCTAGTTTCCCAGCACAGACACCAATAGACAGGTAGCATTGACACTGTACCTAGAGAGGCTGCCCTCAGCGGCCAGGCCCTGGGAGTCATCGAGGACATTAGGTTCACTGCAGGAGGGGTAGGGAGATGAAGCATTTAGGGAAAGAAAATGCAAAAGCAAAGAAGAAAGAAAAAGAAAAAAAGGCATGCCATTTTCTGTTTCCAAGAACTAAAAATAAATAGATTTAACAGAACAAGGAAGGAAAAGGAGACAGTCAACCATTTCACCTTGTGCTGGGTTTGTCAAGACATAGGACTCAAGGCAATGGGGGAGGAAGGACTTTGGATGGATACAACTCTCACAGGAGTGAACTGTTTACTGGTCAAGAGTTAAAATGAGCTCCCAATGGACCGTGAGCTCTGAAACGCATTGCAGAATGAATCCATAGAAGATGAAACTGTCATTTCCTTTGATAACTATTTGGCTTGATTAGGTGATTATTATTTATAATCTGTCTTATGTACATGGTGTTTCATTGACCAGGACCCTACTTCTTTCCTGTGCATTCTAACATTATCACATAGAAACCACTTACCATGAACTATCACAACCAAGCTCCTGTAACTAATGCAGTTAAGAAAAGCAAAGAAAGAACCCAACTTTCCCTGCTAATTTTGCAGTGAAAATACAAGTAAACACACGGAAGGAAGACATCTTGGAAAATTCACATGGAACTCGCATGTACCTCCTTATCTCCATCCTCTAGTGACTGAATTTACATGCCAAAAGAAGCAACCAGTCAGGTTGGTGAACGAATAATTAAATAGTTTATCGATTTATTTGTATGTAGCTAAACTGAGATTTGTGAACAGAAGCTGTGTCATACTTTATCTGCCCTTCCAATTTTTAGAAAATTAGAATGTCTGCCTCTAAACAATTGAGGTTTACCTAATTGTACACTGTAAAAACAGCTTCTGTCGCGAGGTAGATACTCACTGTCCCTAATGTACACATACTAGTCTTTTAAAATATGAATCAAGTTCAAAGGGTTTAACTATATGATTTTTATTCTGGATTTCTAGTATATCCATAATAGGACAAATTTTCTCCCTGGAAATCTGTTAACCCCTTAATGGATATGTAAAAACAAAATTTACAGTCTGGTTATTTTAGGTAAATAACAGCAAAAAAAAAAAAAAGCCTTCTATATAAAAATCTTACGACTCTATAATTTAGATTTTAAAAATTACTATTTTTCTTTTATTCTTCATAGAACCTTGCACATTGCTAGCAATTAAAAATAAATTGAGAGCTACTAATATTAACTACTTATGTGACTTTTTTTGGACATGTTATTGTTTGCTCTGATTTTGTTCATACCTTTTTTTTTATAAGACTTTCTTTTCAAAGGAAAATTACCAAAAAGTAGTTCAAACAATTTCTTACAATTGTATAGTATTTATCTGTGTAATAGTTAAATAGTACTTAAATAAAATATTGCCCTCTTAAAAAGTATGCAATTTACTCATTAATCATCTTTTTATCATTTTCCCCTATTCTTTGATATTCTCCAGACTTGAGCTTTATTTCACATATTTTATTTCATTTCTGTAGTTCATGATACCGTTGCTAAAGGATTTAGGCACAAAATAGTTATTCCTGCATATAAACTGGTTTTATCTGACCATTATAATGTGCCCTAACTTTTACTATTTTTCATGTGTGAATTGTACCACAATGAATCCATAGGTATTAAAAATAAGCAACAAACTAATCAAAACTACATAAGGTCAGTTCTCTGAAATAATTCAATTCCTGGCCAGACAGGTGACTCACAGCTAAAGTCCCAGCACTTTGGGAGGCCAATGTGGGATGGTCGCTTGAGACCAGGAGTTTGAAACCATCCTGGGCAACATAGTGAGACCAGTCTCTTAAAAAAAAATTGTAAAAAAAAATAATAATTCAATTCCTGAAGTGAAAATATCATTGGCTCTTAAATAATGTTTTGACTCATGTCAGATCATTGTCTTTTACTGTACTTTTATTGTATATATATCTTGGAAGTTTTAAAGTTATATTGTTAGAAGATAGAAAACATATAAAGAAAATATTTAAAAGGGTTTAGTCATGGAATCAGAATGACAGATAGAGAAGTTTACCTGAAAGATCATTTTGGCCAGCTATTGTTAAATGACCTGCCCAAGGCCACAGATAGTGGCACAGCTCTTTTTTTTTTGTTTTTGCTTGGTTAAGCATCACTAACCTTCGACTGAATACTGCCGACATATCAGAAGCCTAAACTTACTGAATACATCAAGCTGGTCCTAAACTCGCGCCAAGTACTCATTGTTAGTACAGCTAATGATAAATCTGAATAAGGATGTCCTTTGAAAAGATGACATACATAAAAACCAGAATGAAGATCCTAAATATCTACTTATGGAAAGTTTTTAAAGAGAGACAATGCTCAGATCAGAAACTGGGATCTCTTCTACTATCCCAGCTTAGAAAACTGCAAATTGTTGCCTGCAGGAACCTGGTTGAAAAGTCCTTTGCTGAATGATCTATCTCAAGTACTGCCATTGATTGCTTCTCTTTCAGGCTTTATAGGACAGTGGAAGTAGATTTTCAGAATGCCCCCAAATGCAGAGTACAATGTAGCCATAGCTCTTTACCTCTGGCTGGGTAACATGCCCACCTCAGCCTGAGGTGCAGACATGCTGGAGACATGGCTGGAGAACCGCCTCCTTCCAATCGCACTCAGGAGGTAAGCTTCTTGTTCACTTACCACACTGGGCATGCTCATAGAGTCATCTGAAAGGGGCAAAGAAATAGAGTATTATAAAAACTATGGCACTGATCAGAAAACACAACCCAAGCTGCACTTCGGTTCTATCCTTGGCTTGAGTACAACCTTAGAGCTGTCTCCAAATTATCACTGGTCCCTTTGTATAGATAAAAAACTAAGACCTGTCATGTCTATATGTCTCTCACCTTCCACACCAGAATATCCTTCATAAGATAAAAGTAAACTTCTTGTCCATTTCTACAAATAAATTACCTGTGAAAGTCAAAAGCCACCTGCAAATCTAAGATTTCAGAAAGACTAGAATGTAAATTTTTAAAACATTCCAGAAATAGTTCAGTAAGAGAGTTTGTTATTTAATGAATCAAGTACATTTCCTTGACATTCAAAACTTGTACTCACAACATTTATTGATTCCTAGACTGCCGAGGAAAAGACTCTTTAAGATATTTTAGGAAAAATATTTGAAAAACTATAAATTTCAGAAATAAATGCTTATTTTAACCTAAGTTTTAAAATATAAGTATGTGATCTCATTTTCTCCACAGGAGCAGAAATTAACATACTAAAATCTATGTGCTCGGTGGCTTAGCCTGTAATCCCACGCCTTTGGGAGGCTGAGGTGAGTGGATTGCCTGAGCCCTTTGAGACCGGCCTGGGCAACTTGGCGAGATCTCATCTCTACAATAAATAAAAAAAAATTTAGCCGGGCGTGGTAGCGCGCGCCTGTAGTTCCGGCTGCTTGGAAGGCTGAGGCGGAAGGATCGCCAGAGCCCAGCAGGTCGAGGCTGCAGTGGCTGGGAGCGGCCACTGCACTCCAGTCTGGGTGACAGAGTGAGACTCCAACTCAAAAAAAAAAAAAAAAAAAGAAAGTTAGTTTTAGCACAGTATTTGTAACAATATGACCTAATTCTAAATGAGCTAATGTTCTTTGTTGCTAAACCCTTACCGTATTATACTTTGATAAACATACTGAGTTTTGGAGAATGTATGCTACCATATGTGGTTTTATATGATCATCTGATAGCATGTATTTAAAATATTCCAAGTAATTATATTTTTGATTAAACTTATTTCAAATCAAAAGGCAAATATGAAAAGTGCTGGAAATTTTAATGACTGATTTGAAATTGATTATTGTTAATGGAATGGTATTTTATTTGTAGGAGTGTCCATAGAAAAGAGAATAAGCAAATGTACCTTTAAAATATGAAAAAATAGAGTAGGATATATTGAGCTATTTCTACAGAGCACCTTCCCAGATCCTACTGACTTTTCTCCCCATTATTTATACCCATACATATATCATTTAACATTCATGCCCCTGATATTTGGTGATTAATCGTGTGCTGTCTTCCATGAACCCTTTTGTTAAGTGTTCTTTATTACAAATGTATGTCATCTCCTCTAAAAAAAACTATATTAAGATATTGCAGGGCAGAGAACATATGTTTCTCATTCTTCTTTCTTCTTCGTCTAATACAGTTTTGATGACTGAATGGGAAAATAGTCTAAATCAAAGCAGTATATATTTATTTATAATTATATTCCTCCCTATATAAATTCATACACATTCACAACGCAACTACACTACACCGTTTGTTAGCAATCCTGCTTTAATTAGAATGGTTGTGATGTCTGGGAACAGAGATATTGGCAAACAGTGACAAGCCTCCCTACTCCCCCCGACCCCTGCCTCATCAGTGTGAGTGTTTGCTCTTGGCCGATAATATCCCTGTTTATATCTTCTCTACTTTTCTTCACTGGCTTCTTCCCACTGGTTATCTGCTTATTCATAAGGTTACCTACAAAATATATGTAGTTCTACAAAAGATAGGCGATATCCTTTCCATCGTTTGAAAAACAATTGCTGGGCAAGGCTACTTCAAGCATTCAAAAAATGGATTTTACTTTGAGTTCTGAACTGTTACCAGTACTTAATGGATATTTAAATTGCAGATCATTTTCTCTCTCATTGTGTTTTCTTGGTCGAGACTTCCCCAGTCACAATTTTAGGTGCATCTGCATGAACAGTCACCAGTTATTTGGACACAACAGTCGTTATTTGGACACAAGTGTGTCTGTAGGCTGGAGCAAGCCAATACGATTATTACTTTATCGGACTAACCCTGAAGCAAATCCTGGAAATATTACTGGTAAGTGTTGACAAAGCACTGACTTCTTTTCCTGTCCTTCACACCCAACTGTGGTAGGGCGCTAAAATACTTCTATTCAGCTTACTTAATTAAAATTCTAACCTCAACTCCCATTTCCTCTGTTGAATGTAGTTCAGAGTGGGGCTTTTTGTTGTTTGGTATGGAGAGGCTGATATTGAAGATGTAGAGTTTGTTCTCATTCTTAAGGCATTGACCACACAGCTTTGCCATAACTGTGGAATTATAACAAGTGGAAAATTGTGGAATTTTAAAACCCCTTTAATGCAATTCTAAAGCCCTTTAAATGACAGTGGCATTTAACGGACCCTTTCACCCTACTTTTTACTTTTTAAAACCTCCTGTTAAGTACACATGTGCAGTGTTTCTTGACCGGATTTCCCTCATGTCGTGACACCAAATCTCTATCTAGCACAAATGTTAGAAGCTTCCAGGCTGACCTAGTCACTGGGGATTCTGGTAACCCAGATGCGGAGTGTGTCTCCTCAAGACAGTGGGCTGGTTTACATACTGGCTAGGGTAGCTAAGGGGTCTTTTCTGAATCCTGAGCATATGCCCTGCTCGCTTTTCTTTGCATAGTGGGGTCGTGTAATTGCTGATCAGCCCTCTAAGCAAGGTGCTCAGGAGAAATGGGAACAAGTGCTTCCCTTAGTTACTTATCCACAATTTCAGTGAGGAGTAGTGGGAAAGGTTGAATAAATAAGCTCAAATAAAATGTAGGGGGTCACTAAAGATTTGACATTTTGCCTGAATTCTTCCCAAGTGACCAAAGATAACAAAGGAATTTACAGAAGAGCAGACATTAGGGATCATGGAATCAGTCACATTTCCACCTAGAATTCCTCTTGTTAAAAAACAATCTGAACAGGTGAGAAGGGCAAAATCCTTCCCAAACCGGGACTCCTATAGCCAAGCTGTGTCTCCCACCCAAATTCTCTGAGGTCTCTTACTTTCCTCATCTTCCTCGTCCGTCCTACTCAGGGTATCCTGTGAAGCCTGCTGGGATGGCTCACTGTCCTGCTCCCAGACAGTGCCCGTGCCCGTGTTAGAGCGGGACATGGTGGCCAGGCTCAGGCGATAAGCAGAGGTGGAAGTGCCCACGGTGCTGATGGATGTCTTTCCTTGGTAGGCTAGGGGTTCAAGAGACAACCCTGGTGAGAATCTCAAAAGAAAACAAAGGTCTGCTTCAAAGTCTTCCCCAACAACCTATATTGTTTAGGAAAGGTTAGTTAAATGATGTGTCCCAGTCAGATGGTCTTTAGGTCAGAAGATCAAATGAAACTGAGGATGTTTATGCACACACACAAAAAATCAATAGTGGCCACTGACAACTGGATAGTTTCTTCGTCAGAGCATAACAGCTCTAACATTGTAGAATGCTTTGATACCGCCTCCTCCCTTACTGCTTTTCTGTTTGATTTTCCAGGGTTGGTAGGATGCAAATTAATTTTGACCTGAAGGTTAGCTTCCCGCTTGATAGCTTTTCCTGGGAAATATACTTTACCTGACATAAGCCTATGAAAATAATATATAAGGTGTCTTATATGAACCCCACAATCAAAATCAGAATGCATAACCAAAACTGTGTTCTCGTTCTTTTTCTGAAATTACAGTCTATAAAATATCCCTCAATTCTATGTCTGATTATTTTATTCTAAAGTAGAATATTTGAATGGCAATGTGTAGGTTTCACTAATATTATACTTGTCAAAATGTTTATCTTTAACATATTGTCTGCAAACAATAAAAGAACAAAGGGGGAAAAAAATTCCGAGACACATATTCTACTCATGGAGTGACTGCCCTCTAATGGCAAATAATGATTTATTTTCCTTCCTCAGCGTTTTGCTGTTAATATAAGTGCAAAAGGTAAACAGTGTACTCCCAAAGAAAATCTTTTGAATAATGTAAAGAAAGTAGCTTCTAGCCTGTCAACTCTAAGCTTACCCTTCCCATTCCAATTTGTGAAAAGTTAAAGGCCTGGTTTGAAGTTTCTTTACTATGACCACTTTTTATGTGTGTAAGTTATTTATCCTCTGTTGAGTCTCAGTTTGTTCATTTTTTTCAGTTATGTGCCTTGTAGATATCTGTGTGGATTAAAGGAAATAACTCGTGTGAAATAATCCACTGTGTGGATTAAAGGAAATAACTTCTGTGAAATAAGTCTCTTGTTTCTTTTTCAAAAGGAAATGAAGGTAAGAATTTAAACAGATTTCCCCTCAATTAAATATTTCAAGAAAGAGCTTAACTACTAAAATGAAAGTTTTAAAAAATTAAGGAAAGAATAAAATTAAACGTTTATGATAGCCCTATGATTTTTGCTTTGTTGTTGACTATGATCACATGGTCAATCTAACAGTGTACCACAATGGCTTTTTTTTTTTTTAAGATTCAGGGGAGGCCAGGCTCGGTGGCTCAGCCTGTAATCCCAGCGCTTTGGGAGGCTGAGGTGAGTGGATTGCCTGAGCCTGCGGGTTCGAGACCCGGCCGGGCAACTTGGCGAGACCCCATCTTTACAATAAATCAAAAAATTAGCTGGGCGTGGTAGCCGCGCCTGTAGTTCCAGCTACATGGAAGGCTGAGGTGGAAGGATCGCCAGAGCCCAGCAGGTCGAGGCTGCAGTGGCCGGAGGGAGCCACTGCACTCCAGTCTGGGCGACAGAGTGAGACTCCAACTCAAAAAAAAGATTCAGGGGTACACTTGCATGTTCATTACATGGACATATTGTGTAGTGATGGGGAGTAGGTCTCAGGTGGCCCATTCCCCAGATAGCAAACATTGTATCGCATAGGTAATTTCTGAACGCTAACCCCACCCCCGCACCCTCCCTTCCTTCTTATTGGTGTCTCTCTGTCTATTATTTGCCATCTTTGTGACCATTTAGCTACCACGTATGAGTGAGCACATGTGATATTTGGCTTTCTGTTTTTGAATCTGCTCACTTAGGATAATGATCTCCAGCTCCATACACGTTGCTGCAAAGGGCCTGATTTCATTGTCCCCAAATGACTTATTTATACACGGTTCCAAAAAGAGCAATGACCTTGGCAGAAAGACCTTTGTAGGCTGTGAGTTCCATCAGTCAAGCAAACTCACAGTACCCGCCTGCATACTCACCGGATCCACTGTGAACTGCCTCTTTCAGAATCTTTAGCTCACTGTTGAACTCAGTGATCAGTGAGCTCTTACACAAAGGGCGTGGTATGAAGCGCCGCTCCAGCTGGTCAGCAATGTGTTGCCGGGCAGAAAGCTCTTCGTGATTCTCGGCTGGTTGGGCCAGAAGCTGGAAGGAAGGCAGAGCATTCTCAGGCCTCAAGTTTCCATTTATAAAATGGGCTAACTGCTGCACCCATTTCATAGTTGTGAGGAATAAATAAGGAAATGAACATGACATTCTTGGAACAGTATTTTATACAGGAAGTGCTTAATGAATACTTGGTTTTGAATCACTGCCTCGAGAAATCAGGGCATGAAAAGAACAAAAGAGTAAATGGGTACTGAGGATCTTGGAGGAAAAATCATGTTTTATGCTTCAAGCATTCCATCTTTTTCATACATTTTATTTAAAATCAGATCTTAGTCATGCCACTGAAGATAGGATCACATTCTCCAGACCATGCCATGGGGCCAATCTTTTTTGGGGTGGGTGGGGTGGGGAGCAATTAGTGGGGAGAAAGCTAAGTTTGTCCAACAAAGCTCTTCCTGTGAAGGTACTTCTGATGGAAAATTCTATCCTCTGGGATAGACTTTGGGCTGTTCTCTTATCCAGCCTGGTATGAACGGGAGCTAACTGGCTACAGTACACCCCATGGGCACCGTTGCCATCATTCTGCTCATGGGAGAGCTGCACGTTCATGCGGACTTGTTACTCCTGGGAGGAGAGGCACACACTCTACCTTGCACTGGATGAAAGGGCGCAAAAGCACAAAGATGGGTATTCGGGTCCGCACGATGAAGTCGAGGAAGTCCCACAGGGCCAGGCCGCCCACCTTCCGCAGAGCCATCTCTTTCACCTGGAGGCTCAGCCAGTACCACTGGCTTCCCAGCTGCCTCTCAAAGCAGACGAGAATCACCTTCAGGGCTTCACACCGGGAAAAGAGAGAAGTGAGCCCGCAGCAGAGGAACCCAACACACATCCACAGCTCTTTATACATCGGGATACTTTCTAAATGCCTAAGCTGTCTCCGTGTTTCCAGAAACTTCATGTGTACTCCTGAGCGAGAATGTTCTGGACATCCATGACAAAATTTTTTGTGGTAAATATTTCAATTCTCACTAGGAGAACATAAATATCTTAAGTGTATTCAATGACTATTTTGAAAAACATAGAGCAATGCAGCTCTCAGATTAGGAAAGGAAGTGTTTTATAAATATGATGTGTGGGTAATGTTTGCTTTTCAACAGTTTTGTCATAGTGGCTTTATGGTAATGCTGGTGTCTCACTCACATCCTCAGCAAAAACTTGGATTTTAAAAACCTTTTCCTTTTGACCATAGAAATAAGTATTTTTGTTATTAAGAATAATTCAGGCCAGTCTCGGTGGCTCAGCCTTTAATCCCAGTACTTTGGGAGGCTGAGGCGAATGGATTCCCTGAGCCTGTGGGTTTGAGACCAGGCCGGGCAACTTGGTGAGACCTGGTCTCTACAATAAATCAAAAATTAGCCGGGCGTGGTAGCACATGCCTATAATTCCAGCTACTTGGAAGGCTGAGGCAGAAGGATGGCTGGAGCCCAGCAGGTCAACACTGGGGTGGTTGTGAGTATGCCACTGCACTCCAGCCTGGGTGACGGAGTGAGACTCCAAAAAAAAGTAATAATAATAATATCAAACCACGCAGAAATACACAGAGTTAAGAAAAATTAAGTCCTTTCTCCTTCCAGTTCCCTTCCTGACCCTACCCTAAATTGCTCCCCAGAGGTAACTAGTGAAGGTGTTTGGGTATATCTTACCAGATATAAAAGCACTCTCCCTCTCTCTCTCATTGCATATTATAGCTATTGCTAAATAAACACTGTTGGATTTCTTTACCATGTCTCTTTCTAACATGTATTGCTCCTGATTAACATAAAAGTCTTAATTGCATTGAACAATTAAATGCACACAGAAATTCAGCTCCCTAAAGCCCTCAAGAGTCACTATACCTTTACCATCTTCAGGACATTTCTAGGGGAGAACCATGCCATGAAACACACAGAAAGAGAGGGAGAGACTGCAAGATTCTTTTTACCCATCTCCCTCCTCCAGATATCACTTTCCATAGCAATTGCTTATTCCTATTCCTCTCCCTCAACTAAATAAATGAACAAAAAGAGAACTCCTCTTCCCCTGCCTGATTCTGATGACCTGTCCACTGCTAGGTGCCTGTGGCTTTCTTTGGGTTTCTGCCATTCTGTCCAACACACAGCACTGTGTAACAAGGGGACCGATGGCTTGAATTTGAAATCCAGCTCTGTCATTTATTAACTGTGTGCCTTTAGGCAAGTTACTCAACCTTTCTGTGGCCAAGCCACTTCACTCCTAGAATGAAAATAAGGTTAACTTCTTAGAGTTGTTGTGAGGATGTGAGGATTCAGGGTGTTGATAAGTACAGAAAACTGCTTGGTGCACAGTAAATACTCAAAATACATGTAAAAATAAATTTTAAATGGAGGTTCAGTAGCCTGGCCAAGTAAATAAAGTAAAAACATCCCTTTGCCTAAAAAGGCAGAAAGTGGAGAGGACTGAAACCCATCACATGTTTTCTCATATCTGCGTCTCACAAGTCCCTTTGCTCCATCATCCTCTGTGCCATCCCAAACTTCATGCAGGGCTGTATGCCAGGGTTTGGATTTGGTTTAAACCCTACTTTTCCATGCACCGGCCCACTGAGCACCCACGTGGGTCAGTCCTGTGCACATGCATTCCTTTCTTTTTCTCCTTTTTCATTCTCATTGTCAGTCCTATCATTTTCAAACACATCCCTTCATAATGTAGTCCAAACACTCCACATACTCTAAACTCCAAAGCCTTTTTCTTATCAGTGTGCTTATGTTCATCTTATGCTCCCCATCAAAGACCTGCTTTGGTGAATCGAGAAATGTCAGGCATGACTTTCTCAACTTTTTCCTTTGGAAATTTCCCACTGCCCGTGATCCTTATTCTTAGTACTATGGCAAGAGTCACCTTGTCCCACGGGCCCAGTTCATTCAGTACCAAAGAGTGGCTTTCCACTGTTACATGGATTAGGACCTAAAGACAGGGATAGGGTAGTAGGAGTCAAAAGGGGAAAGGAGTTGGGAAGCCTATGGGAGGAGAATTAGTGGACTCACTCACCAATGATCAAGATGGAGATGAAAGATAATGACGGGAAGAAAAATAGACAGCAGGGGCCCACCTTGTCTTGCTGCATAGGGTGTGGACGGCACTTCTGGGCCCCATTCGCATAGGTGACAGATCTGGAGTTGTGTAACACAGTGTCCTTCGACACTAGACTAGTTCTAGATCCGATAAGCCACCAAACCTCCCTAGTGATCTTGTCCTTAATCAGCAAGGAGGAATCCTTACTGCAGATGCCTTCCTTGCATGGCCACTCTTATAAAAACAACCAAGTAATTGAGGCATGGCAGATATGCAAGCACTTTGTTTTCTGGCGTATGTTTACTGAAGGAAACCAAACTCTTGCAAGGGTAATGTTTCTTGTTCAAGTAGCTTCCTTAAACACTTTATGGATTGAGGAGTCTCTGAACCCTTTATGAGCCAAGATAGAACTTAACTAAGCACATCCATCCATACATGCATGCAGACAGACAAACACACACACACACACACACACACACACACACACACACACACACACACACACACACACACACGCATACACCCAGAGCAAGCACCCACCGAGGTATGCTGCTTGGCTGGTGGACTCAGCCAGGCCTTCTCTGCGCAGGTCTTTCCCTGCGTCCCCGGGGGTGGAGCAATGAGCAGGGGAGCTCTCCAGCATGAAGTTCTTGCTCCTGGAGGTACTGATGATCCTCGGTGGCAGGAGCACATTGATGACCGTCTGCAGCAGCAGCTGCACCTCCGGCTGCTCCAGCCACGGGCTGTCTGAGGGGCAGAATTTGGGAGAGTGAAGTGGAAAGAAAAACAGTCACAAGGTAGACTTTCCACATTAGACACAGAAAAGCTCAGCTCTCTCCGTTTCCAAACCAGAATGCCCTAGAAACTCAGGTGTTTTCCATCAAGTACAGCTTGTCCCATGGACAGAAACAGTGTTCCTGGCACCTGAGTGTTTTCTCCATCACCGGCACCAAAAAGCTTGCATTCTTAGCCAAATCGCCTGCTTACCATTTCAATCTCCTTTCTTTCTTTCTTTCTTTTTTTTTTGCAAATACTCATAAGGCACTGTCCTTACATTGGAGATAAAATTTCCTAAAAGAAAATCCCCCTTAGCAGGAAGATAAATGAAAATATATTGGAACTGAATGACAGTGGCCAGATTTCTGCTAACCAGAGGCAGTCAGTTATAAAAGTCCATTCACCTGTCACTTCTCATCATATTATACTTCAACTGATACCATTTTCTTAATTGAAATAATGTCCTTCTGATTTTTCCTGTACTGAGATAATTTTAAATAGGATGTATCTTCTAAGAGGTAGAGCCGAGAAACTCTTGTCCCAGGACCGTTAAACTGAAAAGAAAGAAAAACTTATTTCCTAAGGTAACCCTATTCAAACAATTCAGATCGAATTCAGTGATGGCCTTCATGAGAAGAGGAGAAAAAAACGACAGCCTGACATTTAAGAAAACACAGCAACAATGATAAATTTCCTTTAGTTAAATTAATCAGACCTTTGCTTCCAGATCCTACTGTGAGCACAAATGGGATGAGTAGATTTAAAAGCATCCCCTCCCTTCGCTCTTGATTGGTGAATGGGGAGATCACATGGCTTAAAGGAAAATCTTCTTTTAAAGCCTGTGCAGCAACAATAGAAAGAAAGATTAGTTGACCACCACACCCACTTAGTATGTTTGTTTTAACACAGCATGAAGGAGATGGTGACTCCCTGCTGGCTGCTCCTGTGAACTCTGAGTTCAATTGTTGTCTGTACAGCATTCAAGATTCACTCAGAACTGATACTTTACCATTTTGCTTGACATAATTGAGAGTTACATGCCTAAAAAGATAGTAATAGCTTGAATATTAAGTGAAAAATCATCATACTTATGGTCAGGAACAAAAACAACTCCATTTCCCCATTAATTTTCTCAATGCGTCCACCAATAAGTATTTTAGCAACAAAGACAAAGGAAGAAAACCAGAACTTCTCACTTGCTGCATTTGGCGTTACTTAAAAGTTCTCTGACTCCTAACAAGGCTTTCTCAAAGCCAAAAAACAATAAGCAATACAGAAAGAAATCAGTGATCTTTGCACATAGTTTACTAAAATGTACCATTTTAGGAATGTCCTTACTTCCCTTCTGTCTGTTAACCACAGCTCTGATTTGATCTTTCTATCATCTACTCATCTCTGAAGAATGAGGAACCATCATGCTTGGTTATCAGATATGGATAGTTACCATTTGCATAAGTTGTTTTTCTTTCCATTGATTACAGAGTTTTCCAATGATATACTGCTCTCTAAAATTTGGTGACACACAGAAATAGGTAGGAGAGTTGAGATTCTGCACTTTTTTTATTGCCTTGGGAATGATTTTTTTAAAGAAATAAAGTGGAAGAATTTTTTAAGGCACCTACAGTATTCAACCCACAATCATTAAAGGAAATTAAGATATTCAAAGTCTAGTAATAACATCTGAAAGAATTTTATATTGCAATTCTTTCTGAAAATAATTTAAAACCAGACTGTGAATATTGCCTCCTCTTTTAATTAATAATTGTGAGCTGAGTATCTGTGAACCATTATTTTGCTCACGTTTTAAATGACGGAAGTGTGGCAGGACTAAATGACTCTGCTATATTTGAAATCTCAAGAAGAATTACAGAAGTGCAACTTGGGTCCAAGCTCAGGGCTAAAGCTCCAAGCCTCTAAAAGTTTGGAGGTGTTTCCACTCTTGTTTCACAGATTTTGCCCAGCCTTTGCAGAAGGAAAAAGAGAACACCGTGATGTGGTGCCTCAACCAGCAGCTTAATGAGCGTGACAAACAGGTAAGGCAGTCACACCTGTATCTGCAATGCTACAAGCCGGACAACAGCTGTGCTGAAGGGCAGAGGTGGTGAGAGATAAGGGCTGAGATGAAGAAGGGGCAATCCATCAGCAACACTGGAAGGTCCTACCACTCCCATCACCTGAAATACAAACAGAGCACATGACCAGCCTTGACTATTGCCATTTCATGCAACTGCAGTAAGGGCTTCTCAGTAATAATAATAATAATAGTAAGAATAATAATAATATGATAATGATAAATTGAAGGTTGGGCATGTCACTTTTCATCTGTTTTTCTTTTTTTAAACTTTTAACCTTTTCTTTCATGTAATGTCTGGAGTCAGGTCGCTCATCACACTGATTCAGCCAAGGTTTTGCAGAATGTCTGTAGTTAACTATGTCAATCATGAGAGATGAACCAAAAAGCTATGCTAATCAGGAGTTTGGACACTTACTTATGGATTCAAAGGAATGCGGTCGACATTCTCGGATGGAGCAAATACAACAACGATGATGGCAACAGCTCTATTTGCACTAGGCATTCCAACTACAGGTTGATTGCTCAACTAGAGAAGCAGCAGCTTAGTCAATGAAATGCTCTAACATGGTTTCCACGCATTTGACAAAACCTTGTCGGGACCAGACTCTAGATATTACATAAATAATTTTTTAAAAAATCGTTCTTTCTTTCCACATAAATCCTAGACTGGCCAACTCGTAGTGTCATTTTGCACTCTACAAATCCTTTTCCCATTTTCGTCTCCCCCTCCCCAGACTACCTCTACATCTAGCCAATTGTGCAGGCTCCGCCACCGCACTCTCCAACTGGCAGCCCTCAACTCTCAGCGCAACTTGAAGAGGTGAATTATCAAAGTAGTGCGTGGGAAGCAGCACGCCAAAATCCCCTCTGGGTAGGGATGGGCCCCTGGATCTCCCCACGCACCACCTTGAAATGTACCTCGCTACTTTCAGTGTCACCTGAGCCGTCTGTTTTCATGGGTAAGTTGGGGCACAGAGTGTTTGACCTGTAAATCTTCAATTCAGAGAAGTCAATAGCAGAGTTAAATTTTGCAAAGTTTCATAAGATTGCCACTTGGCTACTCACCAGATTGACACAGACATTGATCAGTGACCTAAGGTGAGGCAGGAAGGATATGACTGGCTGCCTCTGAAGTGTCAAACAAACCCCTTCAATCAAATTGCTGGCAGGCTCCCACTCAACCTGTCGCCTGGAATACAATACAGGAGCCATTAGAGGCTTGGCTCCCTTGTGGAGACAGTCTGAAACAAGTGAATGAGACAGTGATTCTGACGTCATCTAAGACAGGACGTGTGTTTTCGAGACCACAAAGTGCTTCACATGGGGTGACGTTTACCCACATTGTTCCAAAAGTACAGAGCACACTGGGAGGGGAAGAAGATACTGAAAACGTAGCAGAGGCACGCCTGCCCCACTCGACTAATGAGACAAAATCTAGTGAAGAAAAAACAGAGATGATGAAAGGGTTGCATTTTATGTTCCCTGGCCTTAGCTTTGAGAGAGGGTCCTAAGACTATCATTTTAGGAAACCCATCCCAGGGGGCGGGAGGGGGTGAGCATTCCTGATAGAACCGATCTGGTCTCAGCTGCCGCTCTAAGATCCATTTCTCAGGCTACTTATGATCCTAGGAGCTTTTACACTAGATCACTACAAATTGGAATTATATGGCTTAACTTCAGCCAAAAAAGACCATATTAGAAGAAAACAGTTTACTTGAAAGGTATTCTCAGGGGCACACCTCATCAACAACCTAACCCTGAATTGTACCCCACATCTTTAAAATTAAAAAATTAAATAAGTAAATAAAAATAAAGGTATTCTCTCTTGACTGCCCAAGAAATGTTATGCTACCACTTTCTATGGCAGCATAAATGTTCGTACTATATATAACCCAATTAGATGAACATGAGATTTTCTGTAATAAGAGTTAAACCATTTAATAATTGTCCCAGTACTGAAAGATTCATTCCTGTGGCCTCAAAATAAACAGGCTGGGCTTTGCTGATACCAATACTATTTTAATTTTAGTATTGGATATACTAGATTTCCAAGCTTGTATTTTCTACCAAAATAGAATCTCTGTAATGACAAATGGAAATGTATTCATAAAAGAGGATGTACTGACATCCCAGATGCCAAAGGCCAAGTAATGCACAGATCAGGTTCAGTCAACATGTCTTGTGTTGAACTGAGATCACCTAAAGAAGTTAAATCTAAGTCAACTCCATATTCACAGCACGTCTCCCAAGAAAACTGTCTACAACTGACAAAGTCTATGCCTTAATCCAGAAGTCTACTGTTTGGAAGCATGATCTTTACATTGAGTTTAATTATATGACAAACGGCTTAGTTTATGGAGATGTTTAACATCTTTAGAACCCAAGTTACTTAAGAAAAAAATTATTTTGACACACCCTTGTATGACAGTTATAAGGGTTTGATAAGCCATTTGCTGACAGACACAAATGTTCTATTGGGACCACTAAATAAATAGTACATTAAGAACAGGCACTTCCATGCTGCTGAAATAAATAAACTTTAACTAATGTGTAGGCTTCATCATCGTGGTATAAAAGAATATAAGAACAGCCTACCCATTATTAGAATAAAAACTTCCAATTTTTTAAGAGATGGGGTCTTGCTATGTTGCCTAGGCTGCAATCCTTCTGCCTCAGCCTCCCAAAGTGCTGGGCTTACAGGTGCGAGCCACATGCCCAGCTTTCAGTTTGTTTGTCTTCAATGACTCTTGAAGGCTGCATAAAAGACCATAGGCTAATATTTGGAAAAGTTCTGACAAATCAAACATGAAGTGTTATGTATTCTTGGGCAAGAGTTATACTAATCTTGGGTTTAGTTTAATAAAACAAAATATTCTCACTAACTCAAACTTGACATCTCCAAGTTAGTGGGTTTACTAGCATTTACCAAGTGAACTAACTGTTTACTATGACTATAGTTTCCATATGAGACTCACATGTCCAAGTAGACTGGCTCAAAAACGTCTGCTAATGTGAAGGCTACTAGTGAATCTTTCTTAGGTCACTAAACAGATCAAATACTAACAGTGTTCATTTAGTACCGCACTGAATTAGGTGAAAAGATGAAAATTAGGTATTTGTTGTCAATCCTGTGACCTTTTTAGCTTCTGCTTAGCCGATTATTATAAAGCTTAGCATTTCTCTAAACTGGCACCTAAATATATTAACTAGTTATGTTAAATTCCAGTATTTTTAACATCAAATAATTTTCTTTTCCTACAGTATTTTTAACATCAAATAATTTTCTTTTCTTTTCTTTTCTTAGCTGTTTTATTTATAAGGCATACTATGCCTTATTTCAAAGGGGATTGAATTTTTTATGTGTGTCAGATGAGGAACATGATAATTAAGAAATGGATAGATTTTTCAAGATGAACCCATATTATTTGCAAAGAAAATGTTATTTCCTCAAAATATAGACTCTGCTACTTGGGCATTCACAGTCCTGATTGGCTGGGCACATATACCAACCGAGAACTGTCAAGCCATTCATTCTCCTCCAGATTCTTTTGGTTTAGCATCTTAAAAATATGATGAATCCTAACTCTGAGATCCATAGTATCAACAGCTTACTAGGAGGCATCCTTACCTCAAAGTAGGCATCTTATGAATTTTGTTGAACATTCTATCCAATCTCTTTAAAATGAGGATAAGGGCCGGCCTCACTGCCTCGGCTGTCCAGTCGGTAATAGGCAGCATCTCCATGATGTACCGCCGAAGCCCACGGCTCTCCATTGTCTGGGTGTCATACGGTGCCAGCTTCAGGAGCGAGTGTGCGATTTCTGCCAACCTAAATTTTTTTTTTTAAAGAATAAGCTTAGGATGCCTCCATGGGATTTTCTCACACAGCATCATGCTAGTCACATCCTTCAAGTACACCGCGCTGAACTAAGAACGTTCTCCCCAAAATCCTTCATCTCTGTGTTCTCCTCTCATACACCAACCAGTACAGTGATGCCTAAACATGCATATGAATACATAATCGTAGAATCTTTTAGAGGGTAAGGGTGAAGAGCATCTGATGAGGAAACCAAAACCCTGAGAGATTCAGGATAGGTCAAATATAGCTAGAGAATGGCATTGCTAGCTGGGCTCGGTGGCTCAGCCTGTCGTCCCGCGCCTTGGGAGGCTGAGGTGAGTGGATGGCCTGAGCCCGCGGGTTCAAGACCCGCCTGGGCAACTTGGTGAGACCTCATCTCTACAATAAAACAAAAAAAATTAGCCGGGAAAAGTAGTGCACTCCTGTAGTTCCGGCTACTCGGAAGGCTGAGGTGGAAGGATCCCTGAGGCCAGCAGGTCGAGGCTGCGGTGGCCGGGAGCGGCCACTGCACTCCAGTCTGGGTGACAGAGTGAGACTCCAACTCAAAAAAAAAAAAAAGAGAATGACATTTCTGAGGATATATATACACATAGAGGATGGGGACTGACCCCCCCAACCAGAATTTATTCATTAAAAATTGGGTATTTATTCTTACATGTTTAAACTTTAGTCACCTCCAAAGTACTCTGTGTTGGATGCAATACACCTATTGAGGTGCTTTTTTCACTGTTCAAAACAGTTCTTGAACTCATCCATTTTGATGCCTTTTTGTGCTTCTGCCGTTTTTCATTTCACCTCTTTCACACTGGCAAAACCTTTTTCATCCAGGGAAACAAAAATATAAAGTCACTTGGGCAAGATCAAGTGAATAGGCGAGCAGTCCACGAGGATCATGCTATGTTTGGTCAAAAACTGCTGAATGCTCAGTGCGGTACAGGCAAGTGCGATGTTACGGTCAAAGAACCAGTCACCTGTTTCCCACAGTTTGGGATGTTTCCTCCACAAATGGTGTTGCAACCTTCTCAAAACGTCCAGATAAAAACGATGACTGACTGCTCGATCTGGAGGAACAAATTCTGAGTGCACTACAGGGGACCCGCCCTCCAAAAGATAATTCTGGTTTTTTTTTGGGGGGGGGTCCCTCTCATATATATGTGTGTGCGCACACACACAAACACATATTTGTTATTTATGTAACACATACCCATCCAAAAGAACCTAAACTTTAGTGAACAAGAAAATCAATATCAAATCTGTGTGTAAGCTTCATGGCTTCGGAACTCCCACAGTGCCCACAGTCAAGGTCAAAGGCACTCTATAAACTGTGCTCTTGGTTTTTATTGCAGTCTAAGGAGCTCTTCAGACTCCATTGCCTTCCCTCTCCTTCAGTCATCTCTTCTCTCTTTGTGTCCTATATGTGGATCCATCTTCCGGCTCCACTGAGATGAGTTATATAACTGACCCAGGTCTTTTGGTTTTGATTGCCTCTACTTCTCAGAGTTCCCAGCTCAGTTCCACGCAGAAACTGCCAGAAGGAAAGTTGTGCTTTCTTCAAGGTTGGCCCAGGTTCCCAGTTACCAGACCCAAGTGTCTGTAGCGTGAGTGTGAGATTTTTCTGAGGGGGAATTGGCCGACAAGACCGGGCAAATGGGGTTTCTGGTAAATAAAACAGTTAACTAAATAATCTTCAGAACTAGATATGGATTACCGGTTTCCAAATAATACAAACACAATGACATACACAGCCTTAAAGGCAATTTAATTTAATCTTGTATGAAGCAGAATGTATTTTAAATGTTTATAATAGTCACTGTCAAATATACTGAGTAGAAATAGAATTCGTAGGACGTGATATTAAGAGGCACTGGATACCCGTTCATGGAAATATCTTCCAGTGGGGCTATATGATTTGAACTTGATTTTTTTCAAAAAAGGCTTACGTTCTAAAAAATACACCCATGACGATTATCACAGTGGCTGAAATGTCCATATTCTTTGTTAAGGTACTAAAAATTCCTTTGAAGACAGATTTCTTTAAGAAAGGCAATACATTAAGCTACTCTTGCGTAGCATTTGAATCTCTGGCTTGAATCGTAGTTGTGGCCAGACAGACAAAGGACCCTAGGACGTGGAATTAAGGCAGGGGAGTCCTGAGGGAGGAGGCAGCACAGAGGCCTAATGTTGCCAAGAAAGTGCAGATGGCACTGTCAGGAGGCAGCTGAACGCCGAGAGTCTCAAGACTGTCACTAAAAGAGACAAGGGGGTCTGACGTAAAGGGACCTTAGAAATACACTTTTCAATTTCTTTTTAAAAGCAAGTCGGCCTTGGAAAAGCTCTGGAAAGAATCTTCTTAGGGTCATGGAATCTCAGGGTTGAAAGAGACCACGATAGTTCTTTGGGCAGCAGGGTTCACATATTGGGCTTCTGACTGGCACCTGGACTCAAAAACAAACAAAGCACACATACACAAAAAACCCAGCCATAATGCAATATGACATATAACAAATTAAAAATAATTCATTAAAAAAATCCAGTCCGTTTTCAAAGTTACTACACTATCTCATAATTTTAAGTACTTTTGTGTTTTTACAAATCAAGAACAAATGAGGTCTATAAATGTCTTTTTGTGTTCCTTTTTGAGTTGGAGTTTCACTGTGTCACCCAGTCTGGAGTGCAGTGGCATGCTCACGGCTACCCTAGCGTCGACCTGCTGGGCTCTAGAGATCCTTTCACCTCAGTCTTCCAAGTAGCCGGAACTACAGGTGTGCACTACCACGCCCAGCTAATTTTTTGTTATTCATGGCAGAGATGAGGTCTCGCCATGTTGCCCAGGATGGTCTCGAAACCGCGGGCTCAGGCAGTCCTCTTGCCTCGGGCCCCCCAAAGTGCTGGGATTACAGGCTTGAGCCACTGCACCTGGCCCTATAAATTTCAATCGGTTGATGGTTGATATGTCTTTAAGTCTTTTTTAATTTGTAGATTTCTCCCTTTTCTGCTGTGTCTTGCCATCTTGGAATTTATTTGTTGAAGAAATTAGCTGTAGCAACATTCTGGATTTCGTCAATTGAATCTCCATGGTGTAATTTAATCTCTCCCACTGTGTCTGTGCTTAATTCAGTTTGTTGTTAAATCTAGGGACTAAATCTGCAGACTCGGTTTTGATTTCCTGGCAAGAGTACTTAACAGGCGGTGGGTATTTCCACCACGAGGCACACAATTCCTAGTTGCTGTTCTTGTTAAGACATTAGCTGCCACTAGTGATCATTACACAGATCCATGAAGGCATTTGTAGAACAACAGTAATGCTGTGTCATTCCTTTTCTCACATATTCACTATAGTATTTTAATGAAAAGAAATTGTGATGACCTCAAAACAACAGGAGAGATGGAACAAATGCTTGAAACGACCTATACGGTAAGAGCTCCTAGTTGGCTTGGGTAGGTATTCTGGTTAAGGATTCACAGCCAAGCCATTCCCTCTCTACTTAGATGGGTCGACGATTGCAAGCCAAACCTCATCTGACTAGCTTCATGGATGGAAAATTTACTATTGTACGAGTCAACTCATTCTATCTTTGGCGGTCCACACTGTGAGAAGTTCCCCTTACACGAGGCCCCCAAATTTGCTTTAATCGCTTCCCAGTAGGCCTAATTTTGAAAACATAAATCCAGTTCATCTTCTTCATGGCACCCCTTCGTTATCAAGGAATAGTTGTTGTCCTCTGTCTTCTCTCCAAACCTACGTTCACATTGCCTTGGAAATTGTGGATGTTTTAAAGAAATCATTTAAAACAGCCTATACAATCTTTATCTCTTTCTCATGAATGTGCTATGCAGAAAATAATTCTTGACTTCGTAGGTTATTTGTGTGACAAGAGTATGTCTGCATGCATTTATTTCTTTTCCCTTAACATTTTAAAGAGAACACTGAGAAATGCTTGTAAAGTTATCAATATATTTTAAGCTAGAGAAACACTTGGAGCTGAATTTGAGGGCTATTTTATAGATTAATAACTGAATTTGTCTAATTGCTACTCATGTTATAAAATAAATTTGCTTTGAGCATAAAATAAAATTTTTCTTTCATACAATCTTTGCTGGACTATCACAAGAATAATCACTTGGCAAAAAACATCGATGTGATCCTTTCCCGATGAGAATAAGAGATTTTTCCCACTGAGAGGTTGAAGGAGAGGGAAAGAGAAAGAGGAAAAGGAGAGAATAAGAGAGAGAAAGAATTTGCAGGTCTTATTATCCTGCTGCTTTGGCAGCTCTGAGTTGGGCAAATGAGGCCATCTATTTCTCTAGGGCAGATACTCTATCTAATCTATTTTCCCCAAGAGCCTTGCAATCAACCATATATTCTGCAAATACAGGAGTAGATTGCCTCAGCACCGCTCCTTAACTTGTTGACTCTATTCAGATTCTTTCTGCAAATGTCTCTGTACTTTTTATATCATTCATTTCTCTCTCTCTTTTAAAATCAACTCTTATGACTTAAGAATGACTTCATACTACCCTCAATTATTAAATTTATATATTTAGCTCTGACTTCTACATATATTCAAGTGTGTACTGAATTATAAAAGGAAACAATTATATCCTTTGCTTGGTATAAAGTCAAAGCATAGGTATCTACCCCTACTTAGCGACATAGAATATCTTTGGCCAGAGAACAGGGCATGCCTGTCTTTATCAAAAGCATGTCGTGAGAAATTACATTAATAGAGTGCATTTAGTCTAGATATTCCCCGGACAATACAAATGTCGCCCTCCCATATTTCCAGGCAATGAAATTACTGTGCTCTTGAGTGACAGCATCCTGGCCCTGGGTCAGCTGCTCCTGCCGAATTGCACTATGACATCATGCACTGTGATATCATCTACTGACAGGCATCCAGCCACATATAACTAGCACTTTGTCTACTATGGGGATGTTGTTGAGAACATTGTTCATCATAACACTCTTCCCTTTCAACAAACACTCACCAGGAGACTGTTGGGACCCAGAACACCATGCCCCACAATGAAGACCTGAGAAGCAGGCTTGGAAGCAAAAGTTTTTCACTGACCTTCTGCACTCTTGTCTGTGGCCCCTCATGCCCAAGGCTAGTTCTGGAAACTAGAGTCCCTCTTCCCTAAGGCTGATCATTGAAACCAGAAACCCTTCTCCTCAAAGCCAGCCATAAAACCTAAAAATATTAGTCTAACTTTCCCCTCACATTTCTATATAAAAACTAGCCATAAATAAGTTCTCTGGCCTACCTTGATGGACAGAATCTTGCCCTATACCCAGAAGGAAGGAATGCTGCACAGATAAACCAAGAAGAATCTAAACGAACTGTTCTGGATTTCCCCACTTAGTCTAATAGCATTAGATCATACCCTCGTTGTCCAATCATAACTCTACAGGCTATCTACACTTTGTTAAACCTACACATAAAAATAGAAAGATTCTCCTATATTTTTGAGTCTTCATTCTGGAGGCTCTTGTGTCAGGTAAAATTATAATCAAATATATTTCTATGCTTTTCGCCTATGAATCTGTCTTTTGCCAGTTGATTTTCAGCAAACCTTTAGAGGATGAAGAGGAAGTTTTCCCTTGGATCCTAAAAGACATTTCTTGTTCTTCGTGTTTTATTTTATTTTATTTATCTTTATTTTTTTCTTCCCCTCCTCCCCATCTCTCTCGTATTTTAAAAAGTATTGCTTCATCAAACAACTGGTTGTTTTATCTTATTGACACTGTGGTTTTGTAAGTAATCATTTTTCATTCATTGCTTGGATAACTGAGAAGGTCCAAGTCCAATTTATGATTCATGAACAATATCTAACATGATCTCATATTGGTTTTCTGTGCTAACCATAATTATCTCCCTGCTCATCTCTCGCATTGTTCTGACTCTATAATTTGTTTATCATATCCCATTGTATCATATAATTTTCTAAATTGCTTCAATTCCCTTTTAAAATAATAAATACATGAATGAACACAAATGATTATCGTTTTTGCAACACTGTATTATAGTTATTTTCTTACGGCTGCCTCTTGCTTTGGACTGTGATACTCTTGACGACCAGGACTTTATTTTACATCCCTAGTGTTGTGCATAGTATTTGGATAATTCTTATTAGCGTTAGTATCAATTGTGTTCTAGTTCCGTGCCGGGCACTAAGTTATCACTTATGGCTCCTTTCACAGGTGTTGGCCTCTAGAGGGAGCTCCAGGCCTCTCTCACACTCATCCTCTTCCACCAGGTACCCCGAGGAAGAGTTTAGTTATAGGCCAGTTACTATGCTGTGGTGTGTCTGTCTGTCTGTCTCTCTCTGTCTCTCTCTCCCTCTCTCTCTCTCTCTCTCTCTCTCTCTCTCTCTCACACACACACACACACACACACACACACACACACACACACACACATCCATCTTTTACCAATCTTTTTCCCTTTCTCTCACAAGATGGCTGTTTGTAGCAGTGATTTTCTAACTCTGGAAATGTGATGTTTCTCTGATGTTACTTAGGTCAGCTAGAGATGATCTGTGGGAAAGGAAAAGGAAGAACCGAACAGAGTCCTGGGTTGCTATGGCAGCAGGACCTTAATATTCCAAGCTTCCCTCCCCTTTCTCCGAAGCCTTCCGTCTAGGAGCTGAAATTCTCAGTGTGAAATAAGCTCCTCCCCATGACGGCACAGTGGGGAGTGTGGATTCATGTGAAGCTCTGAAGTTCGCCAGAGTATTGCTGGGTGTGTGCCCATGATTCAAAGGCTGTGAAATGCACCTCGAGGGAGAAGAGTCTGTGTACACCGTCCATTTCTGTCCTCTCATTTTCCTTCACTTACTGCCTTCTACGTTTTTTCAGAGAATCATTTGGAAAGTTAATAACGAGAACATTGGTATGGTTTGCCAAATTGCAATGTAATTTCAGAGTGGTGAGAGCCTAAGTCTATCTTTAGCTTTATAGATACACAACACTTTCTGAGTGAGTCTTTTGCTATTCTTGACATTTTTCTGTCAAGAAAATTTTACCACCCTTTACAAACAGTTACAAATCTGAATAAAAGATCCTCTGGAATCATGTTACTTTTAAGAATCTGAACACACAAATACAGCCTTTAGGATAAGTAACAAGTGAGATGACCCCTCTATAAGAAGGAAATGCTAGTGCACAGAGATGTAATTCTGGGGCCTCTCCCTAGCACATTGAGAATAAGATATTTAAATGATGACTGGCCTCATTTAGTTCAGAATTTTTACAGGACACATTTTTGAACCAGTGGAAGGTTATTTATCATATAAAGAAAATTTCAGGTCCACGCCAAGCTGGCTAAGAGTTCAAACTGCTTACTTCCCTACAGGGCTCATGACTGAGGCCTTAAGGAGTCGAGGAACAGAGGGAGTCTTCTAGCAGAAAGTAGTAGAGCATTTTTCATGCAAAATAACAGAGAGGATACATTAGATTTCTGTGAAAAACTAGAATGTCTCTTTGTTATTAAGGAGCAGATATATGGACTTTGCTTTTCTGTCTTAAGAACACTTCCTCCGTCTACCCTGAGATTTTTTGAGATGGACTGAATGTACTGTACCAGAGGGTAGAAGATACATATCTGATGATATATATATCCAAGTCACAGGAAAAGAAACGTTCTGAGTATCTCAAGTTTTCATCCTGGAGGCCCCATGCCCAGCCCACAACACATACTCAAGACACATGGCCCAAACTGTGTTCACCTTCAAGGACAGGGAAAGAAAGTACCTCATGTGAGACTTCACGTCCAGCAACTCCAGGGCAGTGACCCGCGGCTCCCCAGCTAGATTTTGCAAGATCTTCAGCCTTGGCCCACAGTGCTTATAGAATTCTGTACAAATATTCAGCAGAGATTCCCGCGGCCTTCTGAACTCTTCCCGAGCAATTCGTTCATCTAGTTCCTCTCTGGGAAGGCCTTGCCCTTCTTCCAGTAAATGAAGGTTTTCCCTGGGAAATTGTCAAAGATTAACGAGGGGGTCTGAAAACGTGAGCATGTGCCAACTGTGAGAGGAAGGTATCACATGAAAGAAAAATACAAGATTCCTAATGAGGGAATCCATCAGTAGGGTGAGGCCAAGGAGAACAAAGAAAATATATCAGCCTGGAAGAGATTGTCATCCCAAATTGTAGGGGCTTTCCATTAGCCACTTTCTGAAAATTTACATAGAAATAGTACGTTATGTGTCAATGGAACAAAATCTAATAGCCATAATCCAGCTTAAGAGGCAGTGATCTCAAGATGTCAGAACTGGTGTGAAATTAGAACAAGACTTTCTGTACCTGATAAAGTGCAGTTTGGCTCCTTGTTCCTGGTACCTGGGAGTCAGAAAAACAGTCTGCATAACTATTAGAGCAAGAACAGCATCCCTTTGCTGAGGCTTCTTATAGACTTTTTTTGTTTGAAAAGTTCATGAAGCTGTAGATTTTGATAAGCTCACAAATATATGCATATAAGTCCTAAAATATAAAAGCTTTATCTTTCATTTTCTGCTACAAAAGACATTTTATTGCCATGTAATTTGAGCAAAGAAAATAATATAAAAATAGATACAAACTCATGAGATGTAGCCAAATGAGAAAAAATTTTGGAAATTTTGAAATCTAAGTTTTGTCCCCATGTGCTCTCTTTTAGGTGATCAGAGGAAGAGACGTGGCTGACTTCCTTTCAGTTCTGGAGACATATTGCTTTATCAGTGAAAGGATTTTAGAATCCCTCTTTCTTTATGCAGTCTTCATCTATAAGTTGACCCTAATCCAATATGCCTAGAGAAGTCTCTAAATATCACTTAAGCTGTAGTATATCATTTTCCCTTAAGATAAAAGATTGAGGCATGAGTTAACCATCACATCAGGCAATTTATACTTGGGTTTGGAATATATTTTTGTTTAATTTTTAATATGAATATATGTGATGAGCAAGGAATTAACTTTACATGAATAATGATACATACTTTAAAATATGCTTCAGAGAGTAGAAATTTATTTAGTTTCTCCTTATAACCTCCTTGCTAACTACTCCACTCTGATAAAATAAAACTTTCTCTTAAGCTAATTTTGGGTTTGCCCTATCTTAAATCTTCCTTGGAAAAGGAAATTAATTAGACTTTTTTGGTGTGTACTGGAGTAATTAAGGTTAACATAGATAGATTGAAACAGGTAAAATATTAACTAGTATAGTGTCTTGAGTTACACCAAAATAAGGAAAGAGAGATTAAGTCACAACCATAGTCATTTGAGGATGAATGTTGGATGAAATGTCTGTAGAAAATCTGTCCAGATGAAAGTAAATTGACTTTTACTGCCTTGGGAATGAGAAACAACCTCCTGATTATACTGTTTATTTGCCTTTAGTTGGAGGCAAATGAAACAACATTGAAATAGTTCAAAGACCACCCAGGAGGCAAAGAACAACTAACATGCTCATGCAAACAAAATAACACAAATGCCAATTTATGAAGGCGGTTTGGATTTATCTTTGACAAATTTCAAAAGAAGCCCTGGTATTTTCTTGTAACTCTAAACTCTCACCTTCTTTTCTTTTCCTTGGAGGTTTTCATACTCAAGATTGACTATTTTCAGGATTCCTTTCATTCCCAACAGTTTAAATTCAGGTTGTATGAAATTGAGAAACCACAGAAGAATAAGGCACAGTGAATTACCTGGTGTTCACCCCAGACGACATGGTGTGATTGGCTGTGGTGGTTCCCTTATGGCCTTGGTCACACCTGCTCATCTGTGGGGCTGTCATGGGCCTATAACAATGACAATAAGAGTCATAACAAAACAATAACAACAGGCATGAAAACATTTATGAAATCCTCTAGTTACTGAGGCTCACTTAAGTTTTAAGTTAGTTTTAGAGTCTTAAAAAGACAGGAGGTCTGGCTCTGGACTTTTCTGTCTGTTCTGAGAGGGACTTTAAAGGGAACATTGATTACCAAGAGTCTATAAGCTCACCATGATTTAAGTTCTTCCACTTTTGGTTTCTGAGTAATAAACTATGACTCTTCAAACAAGACACTTATGAAATCAGACATCTAAGTCTGCAGTGATTGAGAGTAAGAGCTCATTCTTTAATTCTACAGATACTAGGCAGTTAACGATTCTAGACAATAAGTAAAAGACCAGGGTATACATACCACTTTGGCCACCTATACAATAACCAACCACTCTGTTTTTCTGAGAAACTGTCAAAGAATGAAATAATTATCCTCTTCAAAATTATACCTAAGGCCACCCAGGAAAGTGAGTAAAACAGTAAGTCAGTAATTTAGATATTTTTAATATATTTGAATCATCAGATTTTATATCTGTTGTATTTACTTTAAATATTAGGTAAGCTTTGCCCCTGTGTTGAAATCTAGGACATGAAAGGGATAGTGTAGTTTTGGGTTTTTTTAAGCAATTGCTTTTATGAAATCTTTAAGGCTTGCTTTTATATTGTTTGTTTTCTATATGCTAGGTACGGCTAGAAAGTAGGTAAGCATTTAGCAGTCACACCAGATCTTCTCTTCGTGTGCCCTGAATCTAGAGAGGGTCGAGTATCCTTGCTCATTGGTGTAACTACAGTGATTATGTTATATTGTATTACAAAAAGGGAGCACATCTAGGTAGGCCTAATCTAATTACAACAGCTTTTTAAAAATGGAGGTTTTTATGGCTGGAGGCAGAGAGATTTGAAGCATGAGAAGGATTTGTACTGTTGCTAGCTTGATGGAGAGGGAACCTGTGAGAAGGAACACAGGTGCCTCCTAAATGCAGAGCTGTGTCTGGTGGATAGTCACTCAAGAAACGAGACCTCAGAAATGGGACCTCACACCTAAAGTTGCATGGACCTGGGTTCTGCTGAAAACCTGAATGTGCTGGGAAGTGCATTCTTCGCCAGTACCCCCAGATCTGAGCTTAGACTAATTAACACCTTAATTTCCACCTTGTGAAACCCTGAGCAGAGAACCCAGTGGAGACTGCCTGGACTTCCATCCCACAGAACTGGGAAACAATAAATTTTATTTTAAGGCTTGAGTTTGTGGTAACGTGTTATACAACAGTAAAAAACAAATACACTTGTAAAATATTTATGTACTACTACTACTTCTATAACTCTTAAATCTCTATTTCATGAGAGAAAGAAATTGGGAGTGTGCAAGTGAAAGGGGATTCTTACCTTCTTTTTTTTAATACAGTGAAGCCCATTTTGTTGTGAGTAACTATGACCAACCGATGAGGCTGATCTTCTATTCCAACAAAACAATGTTATGTGCACTGGGATATTTAAAGCCACAGAATTTCAAATACCAGAGCTCCATCCATAACTTTGTGTGGCATTTTGAGTAAGTCAGTTTTGGATACGTTAATTGACTTATCCTTATAAAGGAGAACAGTTGTGAGGAAAGTACTGACATTAGGGAATACGAAGAGAAATACCGAGCAAACATTGATTGCTTCTCTCTCTTCTAGTTTAGGCATGGGCTAGTGACATGATTAACACACACAGAAGGAAGGGTGTACGTCTCTTTAGGATGTTCTTTCTCCCAGGACTTTCATGAAACCATCAGCAAAGCACTGGGACTGTTTCCTGTTGGAAAACCTAGTTTTGTCATGGCTCTTTTCATTCCCTTAGTTTAGGTGCATATGAGCATTTCAGGATAATCATCTACCCAAGGCTTTGGGGCTGTATTTTGTAGGTTGGCAGTGTAGCTGTGATGAGAAACTAAACATATATTGAGGTTCGTGTACAACAATCAGGTTCGTTCGATCCCCTGCTGAATCATGCAGAAAAGTCCTCCCTGGACTAAAAAAACTTCTTTCTTACCAACACAGCAAAACGAGGCGGGGGAAGTTGGTGTCTTTTGGTGGGGGCACAGATAGAATATTGCGCTATGTGTTTGGCAGCTGTACCCCATGCTGACCTATTGTACCACGGGGGCACACACATTTGGCACTTTAGACTGGACATACGGCATGGCAGCATGGAGTGGAGGAGCAAAGACACAAACCCAGGAGGAAAGCTTCCCCATTCCTACCCTGGGGAAGAATGTCTCCTTCCAGTCAAATTAGATGGGAACACAGAGGAAAGCCAATCACACACACAGTACCCTGAATCTACTCCCCCCCCCCACACACACTCAGTCTTGTGTCAGTACCTCTGCTTCTGTGCCTAAGAATCTTGTGACATAACTAACTTCTGGAACTTCATTTAGGGTTGAATGCTGGTGCCAATTTACCTCTCCACCCCCAAATTTCTCATCCCTCTCTCCCAGCACTATTTAATCCTGTCCCACAGAGATTCTGTGAATTCTAGCATAAGAATACAATTCTGCAGTTTATATTTTGTTATATAGTTTCTGAAATTGTAGTAGAAAAAAAGGAGATCTTCACAAACACCAAAATAATAAAAGAATGCTTAGTTGGAATTGCAGACATTTCATGGCTCATAAAATAATATAACCATAAAAATCTGGGACACATTTTTATACTTACTACATTGCTCCTTTTGTGAAAAGATTTGTAGCTCAGCAAGCTATATGCAAATGTGTGTTTAGCAATGATGGTAGGAATACTATTATTATTATTACTATTATTCAGAGTACTTAGCACTGTCTATTCAGATGACTTAGGGACTGCCTGTAGTTATAAGCCATGAAGGGCTGAGTTTGGGTAGATGTCTATAAATAAAGACTAGGTTTCAGAGATTTTTATCTGTCCCATGATTTTCTTCATCTTTTCAGTGGACACAGATGGTTTCAAGCTGTGACTATTTCTGCCAGGGGGATTACCTGGTAAGGACCTCTACACTGTATAGAAGGGCCTGTAGAGATGTGGCAAGAGCAGCTGTGGCAGCAATCTCCTCTCGGGCAGCAGGTACAGTCTCCACCTGTGATGTCTGCCTCTTTAGCTTTTGTAGGTAGCATGGAACTAAAGCTTCCAAGACCATCAACATCTGTAGACTTTAAACGACAGAAAGAAAACCGAGTCATCTTTTACATTCTACTTTTGTTGGTTGTGTCATATTTAGGAGCATGGAAAAATGAAAAGCCTCCGGAGAAATGATGCATTCTAAGCCCCCTTGCCACGCCACCCGAATCAAAAGTCGTTAAAGCTGCTGGAGATGTGGACCAGCATTAATGAATGAAGCATCTGCTGATAGGTGATGAATCTTGCCTTAGAAAGCACGTGATCTAGACTGGGGAATTCACCATATCACCATATACATATAAATAAGTAGTTGAAAGAATAACAGAATGATAATAGGTGGATCTTTGCAGGTCATCCAGAGAAATAGGCATCACAGTCATCAACAAAGCTTCTATTCAGGAATTTACTGAGCTTGGTTTTCCAGCTGAAACAACTTTGAGACACCATAAAACCCTTTCCTGGGAGGCTGGCTTCCTAAAGTTTAAGCAATTTCATAGCAATCATTTTTAGAAGTAGTCATTGTGATGAGGTCTGACAATGCTTGCATCCCAGAGCGAGTGAATACCACTCACTGGACAGGGCCTGCACTCAAATTAATATTGAGGTATCAGAACCAGCATCTCAAAGGGGAGATGGAAATTAAGTAGCTATTTATAAAAGGTGGGATTTTTCTCCTTTAATATTGTAATAGCATAACGCCAACATAAATCTTTTGTTTGGAGATTTTACAATTGTGTTTAAGTTGATAAGTTATGGGTTCTAGAAAACAACACTGACTGTTTGCTATCCAAGAGAACCTGAAACCAAGATTTTCTTTGACTCATTCTCCTCTCTATAAATAGCAATGAGTTTCTGCTATGGTATTTATCAACACTGAATACTGGTTTCTGGGAATACAATTTTGGCTAGAATAAGTGCTTTTGAGACAAGAGATGGAAATTTTCAGAATTTAATGGGTATGGAGAGCAAGCTATGATACTCTCTGGAGTCCTACCACCTCGAAAAGTAAGACAAGCCATCAGTTCTGTTTCCTGTAATAATAAAGTACCTTGTTGCAGACTAACTGTCCTACCAGAAAGGCTGAATTAAAAAAAAAAAAAAAAAATTGAAGGCATCAGATAGGAGCTAAGGCTTTCAGGTATCTTTTGGAGGTACTGGGGTTCTGGGGAAAAGAAAGTTTATTCAACTATAAGAAAGGGATTGGCAGTAGCAGTGTACTGCTGGGGTCAGCATGGGGGAGATACAACATCAATAAGAGTACCTGATTTTAAACCAGGCAAAGTAGGGGCCAAAGAGAGGCCCAAACTTTACCTGTGCAATGACCACTTGTATACCAAATCCTGAATTGTACCCCACATCTTTAAAATAAAATTTAATAATTTTAAAAAAGAAAAATAAAGAACTTCTAATAAATCAAGGAGGAAGAAATGGAAGAAAGCTTATTCAGTTCATCTAGATATCATGTGGCCCTTTCTTCCTCCACACACTTATCAGTTTGTAGACTGTGTAGGGCCAGAAAGTAATGGGCAAATCCAAGCAGAAGTGTCACTTAAGGGCTGAGAAGCCAAGCAGAATTTTCAGTAGCTTCATGAAGGTGAAGAAATATGTGTTGAAGTTCAGGGCCTTCCAAGGAGGAGTCAGGTCCATGGAAAGACTATGTCTTAAGAGCATGAGCATGAAAAAGACAGAACAGCACTTGCAAAGACTGAAACTCAACTTTAAATCAAATGAATCACAGAGAGAATGGAGATGATCTACTCTACCCCAGTTGCCAATAAGACAAAAAATAAATAAATAACTTTTATCTGGAGGAAAATAACATCAGAATTACCCAGTCTTCCTAGAATCAAATGATCCAAATCCAAGAAAAAGAACAGACAATATAAACAGAGCCACAACTGCTCTAAAATTGAAGTTATCAGACGCAGACTTCAAAAACTATGATTAAAATATTAAATAACACAGATGACAAAATGAAAATTTTCATCAAAACTCTGAAATCTATTGTACATTCAACTAAAAATTCTAGAACCAAACACGAAGATATTTAAAATTGAAAACTCGAGAGAAGCCGGGCTCGGTGGCTCAGCCTGTAATCCCGCGCCTTTGGGAGGCTGAGGTGAGTGGATTGCCTGAGCCCGTGGGTTCAAGAGCCGCCTGGGCAACTTGGTGAGACCTCACCTCTACAATAAATCAAAAAATTAGCCGGGTGTGGTAGCGCGCACCTGTAGTTCCAGCTACTTGGAAGGCTGAGGCGAAAGGATTGCCAGAGCCCAGCAGGTCGAGGCTGCGGTGGCCGGGGGCAGCCACTGCACTCCAGTCTGGGTGACAGAGTGAGACTCCAACTCAAAAAAAAAAACCAAAAAACTCGAGAGATAAATTTCACAGTAGATTAGACACAGAAGAAGAGGTGAGTGTGAACTAGAGCAAAGAACAATGACAAATATTGAGACAAGAAACAAAATGATAGAAAACATAGAAAAGAGCATAAGAGACATACAGGGCATGATGTAAAGGAGGAAATATATATATGGAGTTCAAAAACGAGAGGAGAGATAATGGAGGATAGAGCTAATATTTGAAGAGTTACTAGTTAGATTTTCTAAAAATTGCTGAAAGCTATCAAGCTTTATATTCAAGAAGCACTATGAATCTCAAGAAGTATAGATGTAAAGAAAAATCACAACTAGGTACATTACAAACCCCTGAAAACTCAAGACAAAGAGAAAATGGTAAAAAGTAGTCAGAAAAAAAAGACAACATTAAATTCAAATAAGCAAGAGGACCTAATGCTGACTTTTTAACAGATATGATGAAAGTCAGCAGAAAATGAAATATTTTATTTAAATTGTTAAAAACAAATTGCCGATATAGACTTGTAGATCAAAAGAAATTTTAAACTGTATAAGAAAACTGAAAATCATTCTAAAACCCAAAGAAAATGAAAAGTAGAACATGATAAAAATGAGAATGGAAATAAAAGCAGAAAAATAAACCTACAGTAGCGAAAATCCACATGGTCAAAAATACTGTTTATTTTAGAAGGAGAATAATTGATAACCTCCCGGAAAAACTGATCAGAAAAAAAGGTGGAGGTGGGGGAAGTGAAAATTCTCAGGAGGAGAAATTAAAAAGCGAACATAATGATCATATAGAATATACAAACCAATTAGGATTTATTTTTAGGGAGGCAGAAAATTTTAAATCTTGATAAATCAAGGCTACCATACTTAGACGATAAAGAATAAAAATTATATAATCATCTCTATAGATACAAAAGAAACATTCAGTAACATTCATTTTCCACTCATAAGAAAACTCAAAGTAAACTAAGAATAGGAGACTTCCTTAATCTTACAGAGCCTATTGAAACAAAATGCCATAGCAAATATTATGCTTAGTGATGATATATTGGAAATCCATCCTCCACCCCAAGAACACAAATGAGACAAAGATCCCACCATCATTACCACCATCATTTCTAGTCAGTTCTGTATTAAAGGTTCTAGCTAGTGCATTAAGGTCAGAAAAAGGAATAACACATAAGAGTTAGAAAGGATGAAATACAACTGTCATGATTTGCAGGTGATATGATTAACTAAATAGAAAACACTAAGACATCCGACATATTAAATTAAAAACTACTGATAACCTCATTTAAATATGGGCAGAAGACTTCAAAAAGGACTTTGCAAAAGTAGATATACAAATTTCAATAAACATCTGAAACGTTTCCAAACATTTTAATTTGCAAAAGGGAAATATAAATTAAAATGACAGTGAGTGTCACTACAATTCACCAACATAGTTAAAATAAAAGATTGAAGATATCAAGTGTTGATGAGGTTATAGAGTGCTAGAATATTTACATACATGTGGGAGTGAGAATTGAAACCACTTTGATAAACTTTTTTGGTATATCTACTAAAGCAAAACATATACGTACTTCATGCCTAGAAGAGCATTTCCATCCACAGAAATGCATATGTTTACACAAAGACAAATACAAAAACATTAATTGCAGCAGTATTTATAGTAGTTTCAAACTGCATGCAACACAAATGTTTGTCAACAAGAAACAAAAATAAATTGTGGCATAGTCATACAATGGAATATTGTAGATGAATACAATGAATATCTCATGAAATAATTTTGAATTACAGAAGTCACACATTAAAAGCTACTACTATATTATTTTATGTAGATAGTAGTGATTTATTGTGATGGGAATCAGGATAATGATGCCTCTCTCTGACTTTTCAATCTGAGTGGTGATTTCATCAATGTGATAACTATGAATATTCATGAAACTGTAAAATTGTGATTTTAAACTTTTTATATGAACACTACACTTACATAAAATATAGTGTTTTTTAAAAAATTTAAGCACAAAAGGATTTAGTGTTATAAGTGTTACAGTCCTGTGAGACTTGTACTCATTCCCATGAAATATATCTCAAGGAACAGCTGCTTAAAAACCTCAACTTTGGCTGGGTTTGGTGGCTCAGCCTGTAATCCCAGCACTTTGGGAGGCCAAGGAGAGTGGATTGCCTGAGCCCGTGGGTTCGAGACCATTCCAGGAAACTTGGCAAGACCTCGTCTCTATGATAAATAAAAAATTAGCCGGGCGTGGTAATGTGTGCCTGTTTGGCCACTTGGAAGGCTGAGACAGAAGGATTGCCGGAGCCCAACAAGTCGATGCTGGGATGGCTGTTAGCATGCACTGCACTCCAGCCTGGGTGACAGAGTGAGACCCCCAACTCGAAAAACAAAACAAAACAAAACAACAAAAAAAAACCTTGACTCCAACCAGGTATCAAGACACCCTTTGGTTTAAACTGAGCAGAATGGGAAATTAGGGAGAATTTAAATGTTTTTTTTACCTTCTAAATTTAACTTTAGAAAAACTCACAACAACAAAGGAATTTCATTACGAACTCCAATTCCTTTTGATGTCATTGTGTTTGAATTTTAAGCTGAAAGAATATTAAATCTCACCAGGAATTTGCTAAAATTTGGTAATGGGAGGATTTTCTGGTTAAACTTGGGGGTTCTCTATGTTGCTGGAATTTTAACATTGGAGAATCTGTAGACATTTTGCTACTGCAGTTTCTTAATGTTGTTACTTAATGCCAATGCAGAGTCACTGACATGTTCTATTAGCAATGTAGCTGGACATACTAGAATTGGAAAATAAAATAGAGAGAATTTTACATTCGGGTATCCAGTGGATTTGGAGTTAACTTAATGCAGGGATTATCCTGATGCACTCAAAATCCATTTGATCTATCTGAACTTTCTTTGGAGCTATAATACTGTAAGAAGAGCAAGACAATCCTGATAGACTGCAGGCTTGCTCTTCTGAGAGGCATAGCACACCCCTGGTTCACTGCAGGGACTATGTTTAATCCAGACTGTTTAAGATGACAAAAAGTCAAAAATATTGGGGGGGGGTATTTCATACTCATTCCTCATATTTTCTTCTAACAAAAAGATTTCAATTAATGTAAGTACTCGCTCCTCTTGGCCTGTGTTTATTCTGTTCTGGGGAAGAGGGGAAGACTTGCTAGGGGGTAAAATGTAAAGATATGTTGGCATAATCAGCTCTTCTTCCTGGAAGAGCCAGCCAACAGAGTAAACTTTTTAATAGAAAGATGAAAGATGCCAGACCACAGCCAACATTCTTGAATTAGGATGACTCACTCTTGAATTTTCTTCATGTGGCAACACGAAAGGCAAGATTTACATTTTGCCCTTTGTGTGATAGGAGTTCTTATTACTTGTCGAAAGGAGCTTTCTTAAATAAATATCCATTATGAAATTTTGTTTGCTACTAATTTGTATTATATGTGAGGAAAATATTTTTAACACAACTGGACACCTTAGCATCTGCACAAATATTTTCAAGAACTTCTGCTATGACAAGTTATCTAAATTTTTTCTCTAAAACCTTACATGTCAGAGTGTTACAGACTGATGGTGCAAAACACAGCCTGCGTATTCATTCAGTTTTATTTCCTTTGCTGTATTTGCTTATCACAAGACACAGAGAAAAGTGTTGCAGGTACCTTCTGAAGGACTCAGGAGCGTAGGCTACCACAGTGACACAGAGCTTGATGGCTTCACTGATAGAGAATGTCAGATCTTCATTTCCATAGCAGAAATCTGGAGTGGTAACAAGTCAAAGCATACAATCAGAGTGGGTTTTGCTGGGCACGAAGAGCTTACCATGCCTAATGTTATCTCTTCTTTTTTAGATTTTTATTCCTAAACTATGAAAACGATTACTTTCTTCATCTAAAGGGAATGAAATTCTGCTTTCTTTGGGGTGGGTGCTTTTTTTCTTTCTTTTTCTTTACTTTTAAGCAATCAAATGAAAAATAAAAGTGCTTTTAGGAATGTTTTTTAAAAATCTCACCTAATAGAACACGTTGAAGGGTATGTAAATGGTCTAAGGTAAAACATTAGGCTCTTCCTTTTAATTACCCCAGTTCTACATAATCCATGATAATATTATATCACTTTGGAGGGTTATTCACTTAGAATTCCCCAAGATAACCCAACTTTCTGAAAACTGCAGTGCTAGAGCGGTGGTCTACAGAACATTATTTTAATATAATTTTCATGGCAGAATATTTCTCACTCTTTACAATCCATAGAAATTGTTAAAAAACAAGAGACAGAAAAATGTACTCATTCGATTTATACCCCTGTGCCATTTATTTTTGCTGTTTTGATTTTGTTTCCTCTCTCTCTCTCTCATTCTTTCTCTCTGTATGCATCTAACTACAATAAGAAAACAATATTAAAATATGTTTTGCTTTTACCTAATGACTTGAGAGGCTTCTCAGCTTTGACCAGCTCTAAGATGTCTAATATATCTGTGGTCTCTCCCTCCAGAGACTGTAGCAAGTCAAACAGGCACTGAGCTGACACACCTTTGCTGGGCCCATTATTGGCAGCATCCTGTATAAAGAAAAACGATGTTAGGTTGTTGACTTCCACTTCAATACTAATATAGTTTGACAGAAATTCAAATTTAATAAATGTTGTCACCAATAACATTATAGCATCTGTCTGGTACTCAGCTTACATAACTCTGCAACCAACAATGTGGTTACATGATTTTGGAGTCGTACACCTGGCTTTTCAGGGATCCATTAAATGTTAATCTGGTACAAAATATATATTTGTGGAAACTCGTAAAAATATAGCAATATGTGAATTCCCAGAAAAAGTTCATGCCAATGGCTCCTCTAATCTAAGATGGCGGAACTAAGGACATTTCTGTAATGGAGTGGTTGAATACTACAAATACGTTTGAGGAACGTATGCTTATTTTAACGAACAACTCTGAGAATTTCACAGGTCCTGTTTGATAATATATCTCTAAAATGGAGATCCTTGCAATCTCAAATTAATTTAACTTGGCTTGGACTCATTCACTAAAGCAATAAATCCTTATTGAGATCTTAAGTGCCAGGCACTATTTTGTACACTGAGGCTATACTAAACCCAAACCAAGATCAAAACACCAACAACTAAAACCAAGCAAATGTAAAACCAGATAGAGGTGCTGCTTTCATAGAGCTTAAGTCCCACTGGTAGAGTGTGGAAGAGATACATGTTAATGAAGCAAGTACAACATGTGACATGGTAGTAAATGCGCTGAAGAAGTAAAATAAGGCAGGGTAGGTGGTAGAGAATGAAAGAGAGGAATGAGAATTGGAAAAACTTTCTTTTACCATTTTCTGCTTTCCATCCCTTTGATGAATTGAATTTTTAAAAAAGAACTGGAGAGTTGGTCTATTTACATCTTAGGAACTGAGATGAGGACTAAAGAGATATGATTTTTGGAATTCACATCTCAGTGGTTGAGGAAAGAGAGCTGAGAGACTGAATAAACAAATTGACAATGGCCAGGCCATATATAAAAACAGAACTTTGACCCACAATCTGCAGCAATCTGTTAGACACCAACTCATTGTCTATGGAAATCAGCCCAAGAAGCCAGCCTGTCAGGCTGGTAGGAAGTCAGGTCACTAGCTCTAGTGGTAAACAAGAAAGAACTGCTGGCACAATTGACTTAAAAGAACCAGGATGGCTCAACCTCTAATCCCAGCACTTTGGGAGGCCGAGGCAAGTGGATTACCTGAGCCCATGGGTTTGAGACCAGCCCTCGTGGCAACTTGCCAAGAACTTGTCTCTACAATAAATCAAAAATTAGCCAGGCGTGGTGGTATGTGCCTGTAGTTCCGGCTACTTGGAAGGCTAAGGAGGAAGGATGGCCGGAGCCCAGCAGGTCAATGCTGGAGTGGCCACAAGTGTACCACTGTACTCCAGCCTGGGCAATGCAGTGAGACTCCAATTCAAAAAATAAAAATAAAAATAACCAGGACTTGATTAATAACTAACAGCTTTCCTCATCTTTGCCCCTGCTTCCAACTTAGGATCAACCAGAGAAGGCAAAATAGGTACCCTAACCAATCATGTAAGATGCCCTGCGTCTAATTAGCTCCCCTAGCTAGTGTTCCCACGCCCCTTCCTGTCTGCATCTCCGCCAAAAAACAACTGATGGCCGCTGATTCCTTTGCTTTAACAAGCTCTGAATGAATAACCTTTGCTTTTCATATTTGGTTGGTCTTCATTTATTTCCACAGGGCTTACTCACAGGAAATTCCAGGAGCGGGGCCACACTAGCAAACAGCTGGAGCACAAAGGGTTTCCGGTGTAGAATGTAGAACTGGTGGCAAGCAAACTCAATGGCTTGGCGCAACTGGGGATTGCTTTCATAGTCAGAGTATACCTATGGAAAAAGTCCAGACATCAAAAAATGCGTTAATGATGCATCAAAATTGTGTTTGCTTTAAAAGTCATAGCCATGGGAAGCATGGAGGGAAATGGCTAATCTCACAAACTGATGGAAGAAATATAAAACAGAATGACCATTTTTGAGGCAGAAATTAGGTAATATACCTAAAAATCCTGAAAATTGATGTATCCTTTTCCCCAGGAAGTTTGTGTCTTGGAATTTATCTCAAGGAAACTGGACAAATGTACAAATATATATATGCAAGAATAATTCTTGTAAGATTATGCATAGTAGTGGAAAATTTGAAACAAATTATTCATAAATGGTGGTTGGTTGAGTGCATTTTGATACATGTAAACATAGGATACTATGTACTAATTTTTAAAAGTGATATGAAGTTAGATGTAGTTACACAAAAACATGCCCATGATATTCTTGGTGTTACATGAAATAAGGTTAAAAACTTGAACACATGATATAATCCAACTTAAAAATGTGTGTGTGTGCGCGCGCGCACACATGTACACTTGAGCATGGGAGAAAGTTCCGGGATTTTAAAGAAGCGTGAGCAATGGTTATCTGGGAGGGAAGATTATAGGTGTCTTTTGTTTTCTCTTTAAACTTTTTCATTTTCTGAATTTTATCATGTGCTTTTGATAATTAGTAAAAAACTTATTAAAAATAGAGTAAATTGCAACTATTTAAAAATAGGGCAGAGAGTCCTGTAACAGTAAATCTCTTGCCCCCATCGGTTGAGCAAACTCTACTTTACATAAACTTGTATTACTTTCACAGTCTTTGTTACAACTTCCGGCAAATAAAGAAGCAGGATGAAACCCCAGGCCTGAGTTTTAATTCAGTACTCCTAAAGGTAGCCAGATAAACATTAGACACCAGTAAATAAAAACCGTTCCTTCTGAGTTCATCTTCTCTAATCTCATCACACCACATTTAGTGGCAATGAAAACTTTATTCAAATAGAGGTCAGAGAATCTCTTGAGAGAAACAGCTGAACATTCGTTGTACATTTGCCTTTAGGGCAATGATTCTCAAACTTTTTAGGGCCTCAGAAACACCTTTAAGTTGTGTTAAAAACAGATTACTGGGCCCTCATCCCAGAGTTTCTGGTTCAATAGATCTTGTTTGTTGCAGCTCTGTACACAATAGCAAAAACATGGAACCAACCATGTTGCCCATCGAAGTTGGACTAGATTTTTAAAATGTGGTACATATACAAAATGGAATATTATGTAGCCATAAAGAAGGACAAACATATGGACTTCACAGCAACTTGGATGGAT